TTGAGAAAACACCATTTGCTTGGAAAAGTTTCTTTAAAGCAATATTTCAGCAACTGACGCTAAAATTCCAACAGTCCTTAAGAAACAACATTAGTCATACTTTTCAGAAACTGTCACTAACTTTCAGCATGCTCTTAAACTCGAAAATTGCTCTTTAGTCTTCAAAAAAAATGGCTCCAACTTCATTTCTTGTTACATTTTTGTACAAATAAATTATTTCTAACAACTAATCTATTATTTACAAAAATAAACCAAGAAAACTAACATATTTAATTTATTACACACCATATAAATAAATAAATTATTACAACCATTTTATAAAAAAAAACAACAAAACACAACAACACAACAAACACAATGGTCATTAGCTAGTTTATGCACATCATACATATCAACATACACAATAAACAACCTTCGTTTTTCTAAGACAATTTTAAATGACAAAAGATGGATGAAATTTTTTTTCACATAAAAAATATAACAATTATAAAGTTGTCATCGAAAATATCAATGAACTTGTTTTTATACAAAAACAAGTTATCCATATTCTCCAAAAACTAAGATTTCCAAAAATAAAAAAATCTAACCAAACTTGTAAGGTGGCGCTGATACCAATTGTTGAGTTTTTATTCAAAAACTAGCAAAAACATGATTTTTAGGAAATTGAAGACTTAAAAATTTTGAATAACATAAACAAGTTAAACCCACCTAGGATCATATTGTAAGTTGTAGAAAAATATAAACACCAACCAAAGAAGAGATGAAGAAATAACAACCTTTGTAGTTCTTTGGGTCCTCTTGGGAGGCTTGGAAGTTGATGAAGAATGATGAACTTAAGAGACACCAACAATGACTCAACTTTGATGTAGAATGCTAGTTCTTTTATATAAAACTCTTAAGACTCTTAAGCTTGAAGTTCATAACCAATATGAAATTCATAAGAGCAAAAGAAAGGAAGTAATCTTTCAAGTTATAAACCAAAAGTGAGATAGAATGAGAAGTGCAAGAGCACATACGGTTTTAGCATGCAAGAGAGACATCCAAATGAAAGCCTCATAAAGTGATTCTTTTACACACAAGTTCTTCACCATTTAAGCTCTCTTGTCACTATACCAACATGTCCCCCATGATTGTATAGTTTACACATTACTTTTGATTATTCAAACTTCAAAGTCGTGCCTTGACTATCCAAGTCAATTTTTGTCCATATCTCCAAAATAGAAGAGATAAGTTTTATATTTTATAAACCAAGTTTATAAAATATCAACTTTAACTTTTTGGTAAAAGACAAAAGAATTTATCTAGTCCAAAATGATGTGCATGTCTTATTAATTCATACCATATGAATTATGTAATGTTACTACCTAATGAAAATTATTATGTCTATGAAATAAATAATTTCCAATTAATTATCAGAGTTTATTGAATATTTATTAAAATCAATTTCTAATAAATAATCAATTATATCAAGTTGTTGTTAGTGTGACCTATTAGTATCATATGTTAATTAGCAATATCACTTTAATCTGATTCTTGAGCATACTAGATCATACAGGGGTATTTTGGCCAATACATTGGTTTGGCCTTGATGCATACAATATAAAATTGTTGAAATAGGCATAAAGTCACAAACAAAACATTTACTAAAATTCATTATTAGATTTTGTTTGTATAAATAAAGGGAATATGTGTTTGAATCATTGTATATACCATGCAATGGTGGTCAAATTGATCAACACACTTATCACACACTCTACAGTGCTTGCTATACTTGAAAACCTGCAAGAAAAAACAAAAAACAACCTTTTTAGAATTGTTGACTTTGACTTTCTAGGTCAAATTATTTATTTGAAATCCAAAATTCATAGGAATTTTGTTATGAATTTTCATTAGCCCGTTCATGGAGTCAACTACATATCATGAAGTTTAATGTACGTCATCGATCCATATCAAATTTTGAAAAAATCATATTGAATTTGAACTTTGAAAACTTGTTTGTTCGACTTTAAAAGTCAACTCACCTCAACTTCACAGAGACTATAGTAGAGCATCCCATCTTCATTTGTTTGATGTTCAAAAGACTCTTGGTGTTGATGACACGTGGTAGCACAAGGAATGAGAGCCAAAAAGGGTGGGGGGATGCAAGTTTTTATCAGCATCTGATAGAAACTTCACAAACATATCCAACTCTGGATGTTTGCATCAATTTTTTGAAAACTAAATGCAAATCTCAATCAAAGTATATACTAAATTCAAAACTTTATTTAATGAAAGTAACATGAGCAGAACATGCAAAACCTTCTTTGGTTGCAACCATCAGTCTTCTTATACACCTCTAAAGATTTGTCTAGACTATCTAACATATTTATACATATAATTCAACTTTTGAAAAATCATTTTAATCTGGGCAAATTTTTACAACTTTTTTTACAATGTTACCCAAACCGATCAATTTTTTAAAAAAATGGGCGATTTTATGAAAAAATTACAATTTTTAACTCGTAAAAGGTTGACAATTTCATTAATATCATGAAATTTTGATTTTTAACAACAAAAACAACTCCTTTTTGACACATCTATCATATAAATTGGAGAAATTACCATTCGGACCCCGATTATTATATACTTCCAGTCTCCGACACATCTATCCTGCAACTTTTTTGTTTCTTTCTCATCTTGCTTTGCTTTCTTGGCCTATTTTTTAACAAAACAAAATAACACAGATCATTATATAACGAAACAATACAAATGGAATTAGGTTGTTATTTAAAAAATTACCAGTTGCTTACTTTCATCTACTTGTAGCTAATTTTCACTGCTATCATCAGATAAGACTTTTCAGGCTACAATGCCCTTAATAAACGTATCTTAAAATTAAAGTTTGAATTAGAAAATGAGCACATATACTGTGAGTAGTTGAGAGGAGGTTCTGAAATCATCTAGATGCCCCTCATCAGTTCTTCCAATCCTCTCTCAAATCATAACCCTCGTTCTCAAATCTGAACAGGCATTTGTAATGCTTTCAGGCTTCTGTAGCAGTTGTGGTCGAACATCAGTCATCTTCTCACTAACCTTACCCACCTTAACTCAATGATGATTCAAAACAAAGGAAAAAAGTCAATGATGAGTCGGAACAAAGGAAAAAAGGAAAAAAAAAATGAAGCAACTAATGATCGATTTCAGCATAAATCATCAAATAATAACCTGATTTTAGCCATAAATTCACGATTTCAGCGTATTTGGGGAGAGAAAAAAGGAAAAACTGAAGAACGGTACATACCTGAAGTGACAGTGGAGCCGAAGGTGTGGGAGGGTAGCGACGAAGATGCGAAGGTGTAGGAGGATGGCGTCGGAGATGAAAAGTTGGAGATTCGATGTGAGGAAGTGAAGCGGTGGAGGTTTGAGAATCGAGAGGGAAGAAAGGGATCAAGAAAGATTGAAAGCTACACAATTGTTATTAGGTCAAACCATGGACATGAGAAAGGGGTTTTATGCCGGTGGAAACAAGGCAGGGTTTTTAATTTTTGGGGATTTCATTTCCCCCCTATTAAAGGATGGAACACGCGTTTCATTAAAATTTATTTAACGACATGCTTAGATGACACGCATTTTATTATAGGTGTAATTCGTGTTTTTTTTTGGACACTAGTTTAGGGCACACAAAAATGTGTGTCCTAAATCCTTTAAATTTTAGGAGAGATGAAATTATTTTTATGACACGCACTTTTTAGTATCATAAATCACTGTGTGTTATGGTTCACGTGTCATTAAATGCCTATATTCTAGTAGTGATTATTAAAGAAAATAATATACATAGAAATTTAAGGATCGTTTAATTATTAAAATACAAATAGAAAATAGAAACACCATATTTTTCCATAGAACATATATATTTAATAAAATGGATCTTCTAGTTTGTATGATTTCTAAACGGTAGATATTACGATAAAACTTTAAAAATATATTTCTCAAATAAATGTATTATCATTTTACCATGACATAAAAACTTGATTTGACATGCGAAATATAAGAACACAATAAGCACGATAATTTAGGTGTTAAAAATCATTATCGATCATAGTGAGGAGTTACAAAAAATAATTAGATATAGTCTAAATAATTAAGTCAACTCACAACTCTTATTGATTACCTCTCTCGATCAAACAGACTCTACAATGAATATGACAATCACTATTTATAAATGTGCATGTATAAGTCTCTCTCTCTCTCTCTCTCATAAGCTAAAAGCTCACATGCATAATTGGGTCTTCCAAATCCTCTCTTTTTCATCCTCCATGAGAACTTCGCATCCTAACATTCTCCCCCTCAATGTTCAATGTTCAAAATGGATGACGTGACTCTAAAATCCAGAAAAGCATCTTAGCAGATAAGAAGTTCATTTGTAACATCATAAAGAGAAGCAACGATAAAGAACTCTAAAAAGTTCAATCTTCTATTATCAATAAGCATCGATTGGCTCTAGGATAAAGAACTCTAAAAAGTTCAATCTTCTATTATCAATAAACATCGATCGGCATCAATTGGCTCTAGGATAAAGAACTCTAAAAAGTTCAATCTTCTATTATCAATAAACATCGATTGGCTCTAGGATATGTAACAATATAGAAAAGGCTCTAAAAAATCGGAATGATACTTAAAATTTCCTCCCTAGTTTAATCTTCTAGTTTTATTTCTTTTTTCTTTTAATCCTGGAACAAAAAAACTTAAATAATAATAATAATAATAATAACTAGATGCGTCCCCCCCGCGATGCGGGGGTTGGAAGGTGTTGTTTTTGTGTGCAAGTATATTACATTGCCTTAATTGGTAGCCAGAGTTAAGTGTGTTGTCATTCTCTGCAATTCGCCCTTTTACAAACACGGTAAAAAATGAATGTACATTAGTATTTTGATGCTTAAAATGGTAAAAATAAAGGACATTGACCTTTCCAGAAAAAAAGGATCCAAATTACAGAGAACTAAACATTAAAATGAAAATCCATTTCCCTATTTTGATATAAGATATGCCAAATTCCACTACGATCTGTTGGAGTCCAAGAGAGTGTCATGGGACCACAATATCCTTTGTTCAATCAAGCACTTCCTTGTCCCGTACAAGCCTCAATTCCACTGCTTGCTACTTATACCCTCCAGCTACTGCAACAACCGTATTCTGCATGAATTGCACCCACCCCGTAACTATAAATTAATACTACATTATTCATCATGAATCATGCATGTTATGTGGATAGTATTAGTATTAGTAGTAGTACAATATCTAGGTCGTTACCTACCTGAATGATGATCCCATAAGAACAAAAGTAATCAGACTCTACATCAACAAATCTGGTTCTTACGTTCCGAGTTCAAAACCATCTTTGTTTTTGTCGGAGGCTTTGTTGTTCCAACTCAATACCATTTCTGAAAAAAAAAAAAAAAAAAAAAAAAACTAAGGAAGATCTGATAAATAGTTTCTTTTTCAAGAAAAAAAATAGCATGTGTGTCAACTTATCTCCAAAAGTAATAATAACATTTAAGTGTTACATAAGCCATTTCTTAATAGTTAATAGAAGTGATTACATAATTCAAATAACTAACTTGTAATTGTTTAGTGAAAGCCATCCGTGAGCGCCGATTTACAAATTATAAATTAGTATCAAAATTGGAAGTTATTAAAAGATAAAAGTTTAAAAAATGAGACTAAAACACCTTAATGTGATGAAGTCCATCAAACTGAAAGCATTTCATCTCAATATCTGTCTGAATCTTCAAAGGTTATGGATTCATTATCTAATGCTCAAAAAAGTATATAGTAGTCACTACAGAAACATCTTTCACTCTTGGTCCTTATTTTAAGGTTTCATATGGATTTGGGTCCCTCAAACCTTGAAATAAGGACCAAAACTGAAAAGGGCTTCCATTTTGAAGTTAACATGCTAAAACTAAGAAATTGAAAGGACCATTTTTTTTAATTTACTCTATTCGCTAGTAGTAGAACTTTTTGATGATACCTTATTCACAACAATCACATTATCAGCATCAAATTAAGCATTATATCAGAATAAGCAAGAAACATACGATCAATGCAACTTTTTTCACTCATGTCTGACGTATACTCCTACCTAAATCAATTAATCTATTTAAAACGATATCTTTGAAACACCATATATTGAATTAATGTGCGAATGAAATTCTTGAAAGAAACCTTGTAACCTCCAGGTTTGCTCTTTCTTTATCGACTAATTTAACCACCTGGTCCACCCCATACTTGTTTGCATTAGAAGCCTGAAGTCTAACAAACCAAAAAATAAGACATCAGCATCAGAAACGTTCCAACATTCAAAAAGATTATCAAAAACTAATGTCACGTGAGTGTTAATAATATGATGCGATTTACCATTTTCTTATACACGAATATACTGATTTAAGCTAATGAGATATTTTTATTAGAAAGTTTAAGAAACAAATAAACAGCATGTTAAATTGCTATCAAATTCAAGCATTTTACCTTTTGAAACAATATCAATTTTTTTATTAATTTATGATAAAGAGGGAAACATTAGATTTTGGATGCAGAAAGTCTAGTATAGCAATTGTATAAACACAGGCAAATATATCAAAATATCTCTTTGATTTATAATTGGAAATATCGCTCAAAAACCAATTGGTTTACACTGTGTTTGTGTTGTACTGCATATTCATAACTCGATATATGCTGTATATATATATAAGCTGGAGTAAGCTTATAATATTAAACTACAAAAAGATACCCAACATCTTGATGGTATTCCTTTTGCTTTTCCTGGAAATATGGTGAGTTGAAGACAATGGAGGGAATTAAGGAATTGAGATTCCAACAATCACCCCCGAATCTCTAAGTCCTTCTAGAGATTCCCGATCACCGCCAATCTTTAAGTCCTTCTAAAGATGTCTTCAATCCCGATCAAGTCCCGCATTGTCTTGAACTTGGTTCGAGCCAATGGTTTTGTGAGAATGTCTGCCTTTTGTTATTCACCTGGAATGTACTTCACCTCCACTTGTTCCTTTTCAACACACTTACGAATGAAGTGAAACCTCGTGTGAATGTGTTTGCTTCTTCCGTGAAAAACAGGATTCTTCGTGAGTTCGATAGCTGACTTGTTATCAACTCTTAGGACCACCTTCTCTTGTGCTTTGTGCATGATTTCGCCTAGCAAATCTTGAAGCCATATTGCTTGACATGCAGCCGCAGTTGCAGCCATGAACTCCGCCTCGCAAGATGATAAAGCAACAGTATCTTGCTTTTGAGAACACCATGTTATTGGAGACAACCCATAGTAGAAAATGTGACCGGTTGTGCTTCTTCCGTCATCTGGATCAACATTATGACTACTATCACTGTAACCAATTATTCGATTTTGTCCCATCCTCTTGTACTTGATTCCGTATCCCGTTGTTCCTCGTAAATACCTTAGGATGTGTTTGATTGCAACACCATGTGATTCTCTTGGATCTTGCATGTATCGACTAACAACTCCAACCGCATATGCCATATCGGGTCTTGTCTGCAAGAGATATCTAAGGCATCCTACCATCTTTCGGTATTGTGTCGGGTCGATTTCGGGTTCATATTCGGCCTTCGACATTTTGGTTCCTGGATCCATGGGAATGTGGGTCGGATTGCAATCGTGTAAACCGGCTTCTTTTAGAATGCGTCTAGCATACGCTTCTTGGTTTATAGTAATCCCTGATTCTTCTTGTTTGACTTCAATGCCCAGGTAGTAAGTTAATCTTCCAAGATCAGACATCTCGAAGTTCTTGGACATTTCAAATTTGAACCTTTTGATCATGCTCAAATTTGTACCTGTGACAAACAAATCATCAACATAGATTGCTAAAATTAGCAAGTTGGATCCTTCGTTCTTCCGGTACACCGATGGTTCTTTCATGCACTTGTGAAATTTCATTCCTTTCAAAATCTCATCAAGTTTTGTATTCCATGCTCTCGGTGCTTGTCTAAGACCATATAGTGCTTTTGAAAGACGGTACACCTTGTGCCCGTCGCCTTTCCTTATGTAGCCTTCCGGTTGATACACATAGACGGTTTCTTTCAACTCTCCATGTAAGAAAGCCGTCTTGACATCCAAGTGGTGAAGCTCCCATCCATTGGTAGCGGCTAAGGCAATGAGAAACCGTATGGTTTCGATGCGAGCTACCGGAGCAAATACTTCTTGAAAGTCAATACCAGGTTGTTGTACGTACCCTTTAGCAACCAACCTCGCCTTGTGTTTGTTTATGGTGTCATCTGCATTTTTCTTCAGCTTGAACACCCATTTGAGTCCAATGGGCTTCACCCCCATAGGTTTGTTTACGAGAGACCAAGTATTGTTCTTGTTGATCGAATTGATTTCTGTATTCATGGCTTTGACCCACTCTGGTTCTTTCTTTGCCTCTTCAACCGATACCGGCTCGTCATTGGTTGCTAGGAGAAGTTCTTCAATTTCATCAACATAAAGCACATAATCTCGTAATCGAATTGGAAGCACCTTTTGTCTTGTGGGCCTTTGGTTTTGAACATTGTTCATGTTGTTGTTGATCGGACTTGGTTGCTCATTTTCTTGTACCTCCACTCCGTCTTCAATCTCGTGATCCGATTCGTTTGGTTCGTTGTTTACATCGTTTCCTTGGTTGTTGTTTGCCTCATCTTCCGGTAAATCCCATGGTACTATGAATGATCCTGGTTCTTCATTGTCAGGTGTAGCTTCGTTAACCCAATTCCATCCTTTGGTTTCATTAAAAATAACGTCTCGACTTACGATTATTTTTTGTGTAACCGGGTTAAATAACCGATAGGCTTTTGTACCCGGTTCAGAACCAAGATGAACCAATGGTCTTGATCTTGCATCCAATTTTTTCACGTTTACCGGTTCAACTTTTGCATACGCTAAACACCCAAAGATGCGTACGTTCTCCAAATTAGGTTTTCTTTTATACAACTTCTCGTACGGAGTTGTATCACCAAGTACTCTTGTGTAAACACGGTTGATCAGGTTTGTGGAATGTTTTACCGCTTCTCCCCATAGATAGTTTGGAACATGCATCGCCTTCATGATACTTCGTGTCATGTCCATAAGTGTTCTGTTTCTTCGTTCCACAATACCGTTTTGTTGTGGTGAATATGGGGCGGTAAGATGGCGTTTGATTCCATTCATTTCACAAAAGGAATTAAACTCGAGCGAAGTAAACTCACCTCCTCGATCACTTCGAAACACCTTTAAAGACTTTCCGAGCTTATTCTCCGCCAAAGGTTTAAATTTTTTGAAGTGTAAAAACGCCTCATTTTTCTCTTTTAAGAGAAAAATCCACATATACCGTGAAAATTCGTCAATTAGTGTGAAAATGTATCGATTTTGACCCTTCGTTGACGGTGTTATCGGACCACATAAATCACCGTGAACTAGCTCCAATGGTCGTGTTGCTTTGTACGTCGTCATTAATGGAAATGACTTTCTTGTTTGCTTGCCCACCAAGCAAGATTCACACAATTGATTCTCACTGTCAAAATAGGGTAACCCTTTGACTAGACCTTTCTTGGACATCTTTTTCATTGACTCGAAATTGATGTGTCCAAGTCTTGCATGCCAGCGCCACGTGTCATCACTCAGTCTCGAATGAAGACAGATAGGTACTCCAATAGGCAACTGTATTTTATAAAGGCGATATGGAGTTCTTTATACCTTCATTAATAAGCAGTTGTCGGCATCATGCATCGTCAAATAGTTGTCTTTCATCCGAATATCACACCCGGCTTCGGTTGCTTGTCCGAGACTGAAAATATTATTTTTCAAATCCGGAATGAAATAAATCTCCGTTATCAATCGTTGTTGCCCCGATTTTCCTTGAAAAACAATTGAGCCTTTCCCTTTTATTTCGACACACGAATTATCACCGAATTTGACCTTTCCGGTTATTCCTTCGTCGAGTTCGGAGAAAAATGAACGATTTCCCGTCATGTGATTACTTGCCCCGTTGTCCAAATACCACACATCGTTTTCTTGTGAGTTGTATCGAGACGGTATCACCTTCTCTTCGTTCAAAAATACGGACTCGTGTAGAAATATTGTTTCATCGGCATCGTCGTGTTCAGTAAAATTACTTTCTTGGAATTTTTGGGTTCGGTCCGGACATTTGGATGCGTAATGGCCCGATTTATCGCATCTGTAACAGATAATTTTTGACAGATCTTTTTTCAGGTTACGGTTCGAGTCTGAAGTAGAATTGGGCCGGTTATTGGGCTTATTATTGTTTTGGGCCGAATTGGGTCGGGTTGATTTTGACCCGGATCCATTCGAAGACCCGGCTCCACCGGATCCACCTGACCCGGTTCGATTAAAACCCCCCGAACCCCCTTTTCTTCCCTTATTCGACTCCTTCTTCCCCGATGATCCTCCAGAACCGCCACCACCTTCGTTTCTCCATCCGCCACCACCACTCGTTCTAGCCATCAACACCTGTTGTTGCCCGTCTCCGCCCTCATCTCCTCTGATTCTTTCTTCGTATGCTTTCAGACGCCCTACGATGTCGTCGAAAGGTACCGTCTTTAAATCTAGCACTTGCTCGAGGGAGGCGACGATATGAAGAAACTTTCTTGGTACTGTTTTTAGCAGCTTTTTCACCATCTTTGTTTCTTCGATGGTTTCTCCCAGTGACGCTGATTGGGAGGCGATTCCGGACAGTTTCCCGGCGAAGGAGTCGATTGATTCTTTCTCTGACATCATCAATCTGTCGAATTCGGAGTTTAGGGTTTGAAGTCGGGCTTCTTTTACCCGATCGGCGCCTACATGTCGAGTTTTGATTGCATCCCAGAGAGCTTTAGCAGATTCGACATCACCCAATTGCATGATCGATGATTCCGGCATTGCTTGGTACAACAATCCGATTGCCAGGTAGTTTTTATCATCATTACTATCTATTCCTGGATCAATCGATGTCCAAACCTTGTGTATACGCAGGACGATCTTCATGCGTAGAGCCCAGACAGTGTAATTTGTCTGGGTTAACATCGGGCAAGCCACCGATGTGGTTCCGACTTCCTTGATTCTGACCGGAGGAGTAGCAGTACCAGCACCTCCATCATCTTCAACAGAAGACATCTTCTAAACAGATAAGTTTATTTGATTTCACAGCTCTTCTTGATTGATTTCAAAGCTCTGATACCAATTCTAGTATAGCAATTGTATAAACACAGGCAAATATATCAAAATATCTCTTTGATTTATAATTGGAAATATCGCTCAAAAACCAATTGGTTTACACTGTGTTTGTGTTGTACTGCATATTCATAACTCGATATATGCTATATATATATATATATAAGCTGGAGTAAGCTTATAATATTAAACTACAAAAAGATACCCAACATCTTGATGGTATTCCTTTTGCTTTTCCTGGAAATAGGGTGAGTGGAAGACAATGGAGGGAATTAAGGAATTGAGATTCCAACAGAAAGTGGATAATTTGTGATAGGAGATATGGTCTCCCTTCATTTCTAAGAAAACTTCCTCTTTTGTGGTCTTTACATCTTACATACAAATGTTGGCAAACGAAAGTCATGTTGCAATTTGCAAGTTATTTAGCCTTATTATCAAATTTGGGTTGTATTTGGTATACCATGTTATATTTGTCATATTAAACTAAGATATTTAATTTTTTGTTTTGTTAGATTATTTTGACAAACCAAAAAAATAGTTTTTAAACGGCTATAAAACTATGTTTCAATAAGTTATAGATTTTTTGAAAAAAAAATATTCCTAATATCCTTCTAACTATTTTTAATATTTAAATTTCAGTTTGTTTACTAACTGTCAAATTAAAATAAATTTCTTGTAATATGGTAATCAGTTACAAAAAAATATATATCATGAAATGTTATTGTTCTTATTTTGACCAGATTTTTTACAATCAATAGTATTGATAAGCTATTGTAAGAATTATATTATGTTCTCCTCAAGCCTCCTGAACATGTTTTTATATTTAGTATTTACTACGACATCCAAAATGTGTTGCAAAATGAGAGGTTTATGATAGACCTTGATATCGTTAATGTCATCAGCTGACACCTCCCCAGGGAAAAAGTCAAGGACTTTCCCATTCTTTTCAAGTGTTAGTTGGCCTGTCATGTAAAAAAAATGTTAAGAGATATGCAGCAACAAAATAACGGCAATAACAGCAGTTAATTTTTATGGAGCTTTCAGATAAAAAAGAAGAAATACCATTCGAAGCATTTTTGCGAGCACTTGGTGTGCATCAAAACAACTTTCAATTTCCTGTGAAAAGACGATCAGAACAAATCCCCAAGTCACCAAAAAAATATTACACCTTGATCAGAGAAACAACATGAGAACAATGTAAATTGGAGAAACTGAACATACCCAACAAAATTTCCTTGGTCTAGAAAACCCAAATCGTTTCACTAAAACGAAACCCTAAAAAGTCAAAACAAAATCGTAGTAATCGAACATGTAAAACTGAAACTTACGGGTAAAGAGCAAGAGGTCGTTGAATAACATTGACGGCTTTATTATACTTGGTTTTCAGCTTTTCATCATTGGTCTCTCTGATTGCTTTATCGATCTCCATTTACGTGTCTGGCTATTCAAATCTTTCCTGTAAAAGGAATGAAAATTGGAGTTGAAAAAAACAAATCAAGAACGTATAAATTCTTGCAAAAGTAGAATTACAAAGGGTCAAAATGGTCATTACATACCGGATTTCTTTGGCTCCTTTGGTGCTTCAAAGTCATCTATGGAGTTTGTGGCTGCAGGTGGAGCCTCTGTTTTAGTAGGAGTCGTAGAAACCTAATTTTGATGTCGTCTTGAAGGAGATGTCCAGATACAACCAACACACATGAAGAAACCGCACCGGGAAGAAAAATGCGTGGAGCCATAATCGATTACAGAAAGAAAGGGATACGATTTCTGGAAAAGAAATAGATAGAAGAATAGATAAAGAGAGAGAGAGAGAGAGAGAGAGAGAGAGAGAGAATCACCTGGTTTTGGTTTTGTGAGGAGGAGACTCGATTTGGGTGAGCGGTGGTGGAAGGACCAAAAGAAGCGGTAGGAGGGACGTGGTAGAAGGAGAGCAAGAAGGTCGACGGAAAGGGACGTGGTAGAGGAAGCGGTCGAGAAAGCGTCATCCTGTTTTGTGTAACAATAAAAAAAGCAAGCAGTAGACGGTGATAAAAGTCGGTGAGATGAAGCGGTAGAAAATGTGAAATCCGATAGGATGAAGAAGGCGGTGCTTAACCTGGATTAAACTAACCCACCCAATGAACAGTGGTTGAAGAAGTGTAAGGAATTAGGCAGTGGAGACTGGAGAGATCTAGAACAAAAAAGAAGCGGTCGCATCGACGAAGGACCAAATTGCAATTTCAATAAGAACTGGAACAATTCCAATATCCAGCAAATAGGTGGGCTAATTTTGCCAAAAGGTTAGGAACTTTACTGTTCCTAACTTTGGACAATTTTAATATATATATATATATATATATATATATAATAATAATAAATATCATTTCCTTCAAACTAAGGAATATAGAATAAGGAAAAATTTTCTTTCTTCGATTTCTTTCATCAATATTTTCGTTCCCTTCACTTTATTGAATTTACTACAAACTTAGCAACAAGACAAGACGTAAGTAATAAAAATTTCATCGGCTCGAATCACACATCTTTCCAAGCCTGAAGAGCGTTTGATACAAAGCCTGAAGTGATTTTCTCTCTTGAACCGGAAGTGCATCCACATCAGTTTTGATATACTGTAAAGTCTGAATCACTTCGGTAAGTAAGAAGCAACTGTGAACCAATTTTGACTTTCAACATATGGTAAAGCTTCCTTTGACCATCATCAACTCAATCTTGACTTTTACGTTGCAGCTTAAGAACTTCATTAACTCACGATATCACGAATCTGTGAATACCAATCAAATGTACAGAAACCTTACGAAGCAATGGGTAGCATCTCGATTCCAATCTATCAAACCAACATCAATTTTTACTAACTTTTGATCACCGAAGTCAATTTTGACTTTAGTATTGGAAATCACAACAGCAATCCAAAGCCACCGAATTCAGCAAAATTATTGTTCATCAACAATTTATCCAGATCAAATCGATTCCAAAGCTACCAATTTCATGTTCGATTCATCACCACAACCAATCAATATGAAATCTTGATTCACCAACGAACACATTAATATTCTTAAGAGCAAATTGATTCAGGAATCGAATCAAAATGTGAATGAATCGCACATATCAAGTAGAAGACAAGTTTGATTCACAAAATAATAAAACATATCTGTTCGATAAACAAGGTATTTGAATCAAACGTTTTAAGCTCGTATCCGTGAAGATCGGTCCAAAATTTCAAATTAGAGATGCCCACGATAAATGAGTAATCCATTGGAATCGATTTTGAGTTTCAACTGTGAGATTCGATGAATGAAATAAGAAGCGAGACATATGAACCAGACACTTCAATTATTGGATCAAAATTATTGGTCCAAAAATAGATGATCAGTAAGATCGAATCATATGTATAGGAACTGGATTAAAAGTTTGGGCTAAATCAATATCAATCGGGCTGGATCAACAAAAATGAACTGGATCAATAAGATTGCTTGAAACAAATAAGATCCAATATTTATTGAAAATAAGAACATGATTCCATAAATCAACATATCAAAATCATTCGAATTATATAGAAAATGATTCCATAAACTAATCGATTTATTGAAAATAAGAACATGATTCCATAAACTAATCGATTCAATCTTTATGGTTTGACTTTGATACCACTTGTTAGGACATGAAAGCTTGATTTGACATATTAAATAATAAGAACACAATCAATACGGTGATTTGAGTGTTAAAAGACATTATCAATCATACTGAAGAGTTACAAAAAGTAAATATATCTAATCAAAATAATTAACTAAACTCACAACTCTCATTGATTACATCTCAAACACATTCTACGATGAATATGACAATCACTATTCATAGAGGTATATATATAAGTTATTAGTGTATATTAGCTTAGCTTATATTGTTGATTGTATAGTCTAGTGTTAGGCCGATGTTGTATTGCATTATGTATTGTGATTAATGAAATCATTCTTATTATGGGAAAATATTTACCCTAATATGGTATCAAAGCCCCTCTCCTTCTAACCCTAAATTTTGTCTCCCAATTTCAACCATCGACCCCTCTCTTCTTGACACTCCTCTCTTTCTTGCTCTTTGCTTGACATGTTCTTTTCTCTACCTATTGCAAAGCTTACGGAGTTATGGGTTACTTGTACGACACCTCCTCTTCCACTACCGCCAACAATAAAGAATGGTTCAAACTTGATAATTTGGTTTATATGTGGATCTATGGAATCATCTCCCAACCTCTCCTCATGATGGCTCTCAAAGATGGTTGGACCGCTCAGCAGATCTGGAAAGCACTTAAAGAGTTTTTTCACGGTAATAAAGAAGCCCAAGTCATTGAATTTGAAACGAGCTCCGCTCCATGACACTTGATCGCACCATTATGGATTTTTGTTCTAAGATGACTTCAATTGTCGACTTGCTCGCCAACATTGGTTCACCGGTTCCTGGGCAGACCCTTCTCACTCATCTTCTTAACACTTCGACTCTCGAGGTTTAACAATATTTCTACCGTTATTCGTCATCGGACTCCATTCCTTACTCTCATTCAAGCTTGTTCAATGATCGCTTTAGAGGAATCTCGTCTCAAACATGATCGGCCCTCTCAACCAACCCACTTTGATCACGCCTCTTCTCCAACGATCCTCCACACCGACCCGAATAATCAATCTTGCAACTCTCGTCCCAGTCGTAACGGTAATAATGTTGGATTAAGGTTGTTGGGTATTTAATGTTGCGTCTTTTGGGCCTTTTACTTAGTTTTTTTGTGTATCCGGGTTGGGCCTGTCCACCCGTGATTAATGATTAGGGTTTTACTATTTAAGGTGCATGAATGCATCGTGTATTCGCTAATCGTGTCATTGTAAACCCTACACACCTCTACAGTAGCAGTTCTTTATCGAACTCTTCTGAGGCTGTGACTTATAATCATTCGACACATTCTTGATTCATATTTTGTGTTTGATTGTTATTATCTGTTTAAATCTATTCGATCTTTAGAGTTTTTATCTCATCAATTGGTATCAGAGCAGGAGACTGTGTAATCTATACACATCTCTTCTGTTGAAAGAGTCTTTAGGGTTTCCGCTATTATTGGATCTGGTTCAGCCGTCATCACTGTTATTGACGCTGATCTTTGTTCTTGATATTACCCAAAACAATTTTAGTTTACATATCTGATTCATACAGGTTATAATCGATCTTGAAACATGTCAGACGATTCTCAAGTTAACTCCATAAATCTTTCAAGAAGCATTGGATCCACAACCAGAATCCCTATTCTTTTCCCCAATGCTTATGAAGTGTGGGCATTGCATTTTGAAGACTACGTCCTTGGGCTTGAAGACCATTGCTATTTGATATGGGAAGCCATTAATGTCCAGACTTTTACTCATACAGGAACAAAAAGAGAAATTAAAACTCAGCAAAACTACAACAAACTTCTTCTTGGTGTAAAAGACGTATCACAATATGAGAAGGATAGGCCGATAAGCAACGTTAAAGCGATGAGGATCATCATATTTGCTTTGCCACCAGACACTTTTCGTTTGGTTAGTTCATGCGACACAGCAAAAGCCATTTGGGATAGGCTTAAGGAACTATATTCTACTAATGCTGATCTTGAGCATTCTACTCAAACTCTACTGCTTTCAGAGTTTGGAGCATTTGCACAAAAGCCTGATGAGAGTCTAGATCAAACTTTCAATCGTTATAATCATCTTCTCAGTAGGATGATGAAGCACAAGATTGGACGTGAACTGATTGAGCAAAAAGTCACGTTCATGAACGGGCTAAGATCTGAGTGGAAGGTTGTAGTTTCTACCGTAAAATCACATGAGCAGTTCAAGAACTACACGTTGGCAAAGCTGGTTGGAATACTGAGGTCACATGAAGATGAAGTGACGAAAGAAAGGAAGATAGTTTCTGGGATGGGATCATTGGCCCTTGTTGCGAAGGGTAAAAAGGATGTAGATGATGATGGTTGGGAGTCTGATTTCTCCGATTGTGTACTTTCCAATGAAGAATATGATGGGTTTTGAGCACTATAACAATCCTATGGTGCACATACAACCCTAAATGCTTTGGATCTAAGTTTTCTCAAGTTATACATGCAATTTCATTTTATCCAAAGCATAAACCCTAACTAGCATAAAATTGGAGATTTACAACATAAAATATAGTTTGAAGAATACCTCTTAATTGTAGCTTGTAGTTCTTGGCCTTTCAAGAGCTTAGTACCTCAAATGTGATACCTCTAATAAGTCACAAACACAAAAAAGCAAATGGAGGATGATGAGAGAGAGGCTAGGAGGCACCAAAAATCGGCTATGGTTTCATCATAGAAGTCATGGCCGATTTTTAGGATGCTTAGGGGTTACTTTTATAGTGTGGAATTCCTAGGGTTTAATCTTGTAAACCCTAATTCACCATGGACTCTTCACATTTGATAGGCCCTGTGGACTAAACCTTCATGGACTCTCATATAGATTTAGTCCATCCCTAATCAACATGGATCATTAGCCCAAACTATAAGTATTACTGATTTACCTAATCAGTCCCCAATAACTTAATCAGTCTCTTTTGATCACTAAATTAATTCCAAATTAATTATTGATCAATACTAATTAAATAATATGATTTCTCAATTAATATATTATTCTTATAATATATTAATAAATCACAAATAACCTCTTTCTCAAAATATCCATCATATCACATTGCTCCGGTGAAGGCAACCCAAAAGGACCATGCTACTATCGGGTCAAGTACATACCAATTATAGTTATGGGCTTAGACACCTAATCCAACAGTCTCCCACTTGGATAAGTCTAATAACTATAACTGCCAATGCAACTTCAAAATCCGATTAGCAATCGTATCTCTTAAAATCCGTTGTCGAACTCTGACCTTATCAGTAACACGTCCTTTAGATAAGGGATCAAATATTCCTCCGTTCTACAAGATATCCTATAGACATGAGACATGGATTATAATCATTCTCTCTGTCTAAGTTCTGGTTCCCGATTTCCGATTTATGATGACTGACTAGTTAAACAAATCAAATCAGTCCAGGCTAAATTATCGAGGGACCCACAGATATCGTTTTTATCGAGGGGCCCACAGATATCGTTTTTATCCCTCTTAGGGTAAAAGGAACGGATAAACTTCGAATCACATGCTTGCTCAATTTACTCATCAAATCACACACAACAATATGTTTTATAACACCAAGTTACTGGTGTGTTTACGTATCATCAATGTGCAACCGACTAGTAAACTATAACTCATATGTCTCTGTTTCAAGAATATAAGATATTATCGTCTCACAATCACTCGTGATAAAATCCATGAAGTGATTCATGTGAGCGTGGGTTTAATCCAATACTCAAATTCCTATTTCAGGAGTACTCATGAACACTACAACAAACATTTGCTATGTCTAAGCTTTTAGACAATCTACAGACAGATTCATGACAGTCTTTCCTCACTACTTACTTCCAAAGTATGATCGACTGTGGATGTTTGAATAATCTTATTATTCGGGAAGTAAAACATGCGAAGTGAAACACAAGAATAACCTAATCCAATATGGTCTCAAAACTTTTGAATATAAATAAAAGCAATTTTATTTAATCACCATATTCATCAGACCTTATTCATTGCATAATGTTTCGAACAATCAACTTAATACTTAAATTAAAACAATAGTCATCCCATGCTCCAAGCATGCACACTATGTTTATTTATGGTCCTTTCTTTGTGAAACAGATCAATTGAACACATTTCCAATGATGCTCATTTCACAATTCCAAATCCTTAACACAAGTGTAAGAATACAAATTTCTTGCCACTTCAGAATAAGTTAAAGTCCAACCTTTCATGCAATGATCCTTTTGTAATGTCGAGGCACCAAAGTCACAGAGACTTTGTCAATTACAAAACATCCCATTGGAGACTGTTACAAGACAATTCCATAGATACGAAGTCTCATATTCAAAGTACATTCCTTTGAACATCCTTCTTGCATAAAAGTTTCTACACATAGATTCTTAATATACAATTCCCATTATGGAAACATTTACATATTGCCATATGACAATTCATTCTTAATAGAATCCCATCTATTCATGATTATGTCAATATGGTCCATCCATTACTATACTTCCAACTGTCCATAAGCAACCAATCTTCAACGAACTTCAGATTGTCCTTGACAATTGCTTAAAACTTTCGGTCATATCTTGTTCTAGTCCTTTTTCCATCTTAATACCCTAGGTATTTGGAAATTAGAACAATCGAATATTATAGCATATGTAATCGATCCTATATCCGAAGCACATGGGATACGATTCATAATGTCTTACATAAAGACATGATACTAGACCAGTCTTTTGCTATAACATTTCTATATATATATATATATATATATATATATATATATATATATATATAGAATTTCTAATGTTGAAACATTTCAACATTACATTCATATATATCCATTCTAAGTCCCTTTAATAATTCCAATCTAATCTTTTAGATTCGAAATGAAGTATGAGTGTCCTCTCCCTTACTATAGCAAAACAAATTTTCAAACTTTGCAACTTTGCAAATCAAAACTTTGTTTCCTATAAATAGTATTGCTAACTCGCAACACCTATCATAATGATTATGCTCCCACAAGCACAATAATTATGACCTTACTAGCATAACACTTATGCTCCCACTAGCTTTGACATGTATCCAGAAATCAGTTGGACTTCTAGAAATCAATACATATTGACTTTCATACCAAAGTTCAGATTTTTGATACGCGGTGCTTCGATAAGTCTTTATCTAGACTTCTCAAGCTCATACACCATTCATTAGATAGCACAAGTGTGTGTTTAAAGCTTTCAGAACTTAAAGCAATAAGTTTGAATGTTCAAACTATTTGCCATTTCTCACAATTCGAACTATGAAAAGGTATGTCGTAATCATATTCGAATTCGAGAACGCAAATATCACATCAGCTAACTCTAAAATCTACTAGTGAATGCATTTCTTCACAATCATTTTCATGAAGGAGAGAAACCTTTTTCCACTTAGATTTTATAGTGTATGTGTTCCTATCCATGCGAATTTTTCATAACCATAACCACAAGACAAGGTTTGTGACAAATCCAAACTCAAATGGACCGAACTTGTTCAATCTTAATTTCTTGCCATCTAGTAGCACAAGGACCTACCATTGCTTCCAAGTTGATGTGAAACTCACCCCTATAGATCAATGTACTTTCATTGACCAAGGTGCTTTGCCTTATGCAATCAAATGAGAACTCATAGAACTCACATGCATAGTTAACTTAATTGGAACGTGCACAGAAACAAGAATATGTCAACACGATAGGTTACAAACCTCAAGCCGTGTGCTAGTGATAAACAATAGGTTTCTTCTTGATTAGTTCTTGAAGCTATTCAAGATCATTAAGA